TTACATTATTTTAACGTGTCATTTGTCTTGTCATTTGTCTTGTATTTTCTGACGTTTCAATGATCTTGTTTTAGATTCGTTTTACTGTTTTATAACACACGAGCCGACCCGCGGCGTATCATACGCCGCTATTTAGTTGTTTTATTTTCTTTTCAGTAATTCATAATTTGTGAATTTGACAGTACCACTGCTGTCACTGAAAATATTTGCTTTAAAATACTATCATTAAGTCGTTAAGGACGATACCCCCCCTCCTTTCGCCCAACCCCTACCCCCCCCCCTTAAAAGCAGCCTCCTCTTAGCTACCTCCCTTAAGTTTAAAATCGTTTCAAACTAAATTATCTGCCCCTAATAGCCGTCACTAAACCCGGCTCTACGATTGTAAACATTAGCGTGAACCACAGCTCACCAGACTTCCTAGAGAGGAAGAGAGGGACTGCAAGGCGCGCTTACAGCTTGTTTTCTAACGTCTCCCAGAAGAGAATTACATATATATATATAGATTTGTCATGTATTTATGTCATGAAAAAAGGTATGGAAGAGCTTGCGACTTCTAACCCGAAATCTAGTTCCTGAGTCCGCCCAGCTCTAATGAGTACCTGACACAGTATAGAAGCAAAGGCAGCTGGGTACAGCATTGGTCACCTTTTCCCTGTGTAGGCTGATATCGCAATATAGTAAAGGTAAACTGTCAGTGAAGCAAAAACAGACGGAATGACGTGGACTCAACTTGGAGGAACCGCCCAGAACCGAGTGCGATGGCGAGATGTGGTTGTGTTCCTATGATCCACGAGGGGTCCACATGAATTATGATTATGATGGGACTGAGGTCGCTGAAACAAATGTGTCTTGACCATGGAAGGGTAAAATATGATAATGTAATGACGTCATGAAACAATTTTTTTCTACAATGAATGTGTGAGGCTATCAGAGATCAATTTTAAAAAATATAACATATTTTTTCTGTTGCTGTCATATTTGAAAGCCTGGCGTCAAAAAACGGAAACCCCCATCAACATTCATATACCAACTAGAAAAATGAACAACTCGACATAAACCTCAATGGAACCTGAAGACCAATCTACCTGCCATCCCCCCATCAATCAGTTTGGGTGAAACAAAACCCGATTGATTTCAAACTCTCCAAACCAAATTACCACAAATAGCCCTGTACAGCCAGTCACAATGCCGTGAGTTGGCCAATTCTCTGGGTTTTATTTTTTGTGTGGCTCGCCACGTCCCTGCTCGGCGGGTTGGTTCCAAGCGTGTGTGTGTGTGGATTGTGTGGATGTGTGGATGTCCCGCGGGCAGGATCTTAAATCCACTGGCTACAGTCAAAGTGGAAACTAATATCACCAGTACAGGTGAATAGCTTGAATATCTATTTTACAGGTAATTACTTTTATAATACGTTTTATTTACTTCATTTAAAAAAACAACAAGATTTTGAAACATTCATATTCTAATGCTAATTAGTTAAAATTTTCCAAAACAAGTTTTATAAACTCGTTTAAAAATTTTCCAAAGCTAGTTTTATACCCTCGGTTAAAATTTTCCAAAACATTTTTTTTTTATAAATTCTGTTAAAATTTTCCAAAACTAGTTTTATAAGCTCGGTTAAAATATTCTCAAAACAATTTTTATAAATTCTGTTAAAATTTTCCAAAACTAGTTTTATAACCTCGGTTAAAATTTTCCAAAATAATTTTTATAAATTCTGTTAAAATTTTCCAAAACAAGTTTTAGAAACTTGGTAAAAATTTTCCAAAACAAGTTCTATAAACTTCGTTAAAATTTTCCGAAGCAATTTTTAGAAACGTGATTAAAATTTACAGAAACAAGTTTTATAAACTCTATATATTTTCCCCACGTTTGATGTAAATATTGTGGGTCAAACCACAACGCAAGAAAAAATGTCTTTAGTGACCAAAAATTATATCCAGGGGAAAAGAAACTACCCTATTGCGCAAACAAATCTTTCTAATGTTGGTTTTAAAAACTTTACTGCTGGTTAAGAGAAAGTTTTCACAAAATTGCAAAACTGTCTGTCCAAAAAAAACGGAAACAACCTTTCTACAGGATCAAACACCTATTTTTGATCATTAACTTCTGTACTAAAAATATAATAAATGTGTAGCTTTTGTTTAACAGCTTGCAATACAAAAATAAAATACAAAATAAAGATTGAATGTTTTGATAAAAAATGTTTTTGAATTATATGAAAAAGAATGTTGGTGTAATCGACAGCTAATATTCCTAATTTTTTTATTAGAAATATGAAAAGTAGGATGTGTAAACATCCCATTTCTTGGACCTGGACCCTCCGTCTCTGGAGGTCTGCGTTAAGGGTCTCAATCATAGGATGTACACATACACACATGCACACTCCCTCACACACACACACACTTACACACATTATCTCTCTCTCACACACACACTCACACACACACACACACATATATATATATATATATATATATATATATATATATATATATATATATATATATATATATATATATATATATATATATATATATATATATATATATATATATATATACATATATATATATATATACATATATACGTATATATATGTATATATATATATATATATATATATATATATATATATATATATATATATATATATATATATATATATATATATATATATATATATATATATATACATATTGAGAGTGCCCATGCCCTATGCTACTAACCACATCAGACTGTATCCCAAAATAAACTAATCCCGATACAAGATCGATATGGCTATAAAGAAAACCTTAATTACCAGTTCAATACTGACATAAAAAGAAACCAAGTCCCCTTTATGTTAGTAAGAAAGAAGAAAAAACATCAAAAGTGTTGTGAAATTGTATGTACACAACAAAAATCTTTCACAAAAAAACAGAAACGGCTTACAAAGCTATTGACTAGGCGTCATAATGGAGACATTTCTTTTGTTTGCTTTTCATGTAAAGAGACAATTCAATGTGTGTCTGACGACAGTTCAGTATTTGCTTGAATACAACAAGAGGTGTTATAATAACCGGTGCAAACTAGCCCCAAGGTTGGCAATCACAACACGAAGAAACTTTTGCTTTTGTTGGGGGGGGGGGGGGGGGGGGGGGGAGTGGCCGGGGGGGGGGGATCTTAAGGTTAACTCGGTTCGCGAAAAAAAAATTCTTCAAGGCGTTTAAAAAACATGTATTTACTAGAATCTATACGCTAACCATAACGACGGCCCTAAATATAGCCCGCCTGCGGTTATATTGCGATCAAATAAGTTTCGTATTCGAGACAATAACTTAATGTGCCAAGTTAAGAAAAAATAAAACAAAGAGTGGACCGAAATAACATCAGGTCAAAACGGCACTGATTTAACATTTTTATACCAACATTTTCACCCCTGCCCTTAAGGCTGTACCATCTACACTGTTACAAGTGTATATTTTCTATATCAATTATATAAATTTCATTTCGTTCGGGGGGAAGGCGGTAGACTTTTTTCGGGGAAGAGGGGGGGGGGGGGGCTCCGCCCTCCCGAAGAGATGCCTGGAAGAAACTCTGATTTTCCCTAATGAAAGTTAGGTACCCAAGAATCTCAGTGAAGATGTGAAACACTGATAGTTTAGATGACATGAATTCACTGCGATGCGTAAATAACTTTTAACTTCACTATAGATAAAGTGAACTTATTATGATAGTGAAGATCAGTTGTAAGCTAGCGTAAGCTTAATTAAATAGTGAAAAATGGGCTTTTAGCAGACCTAAATACAACTGTTTGCGATAATGAAAAAATGGCTTATGAAGGCATGAAGTAAATTCCAGCTAAATTAAAAAAGGCTTTTATGGGGCATGACGAGGACTCTCAATGAGTTAAAAAAAACTGGATTTTAGTGGGCTAAAATAAATAATACTGGCTTTTATCGGGCATAAAATAAAATTTCATATAACAAAAAAAAAGGTCTTTTTTCGGGCATGAAGTAAAATTTTAGCTAAAATAAAAAATTGGCTTTTATCAGTCAAGAAGTTTAATCTCAGTTAAAATAAAAACAAAACAACTGTTTATAGCAGGCATAAAAGTGAAAACGCAGCTAAATAAAACAACTTGCTTTTCTCGGGCATGAAGTGAAATCTCAGTTAGAATTAAAACAAAAAACTGGTTTGTTGCGTGCATGGAGCGAAATCTCAGCTAAATAAATAAAAACTGTCTTTTATCGGGCATGAAGTAAAATCTCAGTTAAAATTACAACAAAACACTGGCTTCTATCGGGCATGAAGCGAAATCCCAGCTAAATAAAAAAAAAACTGGCTTTTACCAGGCATGAAGTGAAATCTCAGCGATAGTGAAACTTGACAGAGTTCGCTCGAGGGCCGATCAGATCGATGAGATCTTTAAGGTCAGCGCGTCCATCGATACGGGGGATCAAACGCTGGCAGTAAATTAAGGGCCGCTTCACGCGGAGATAAAAATAGAACCTCGTCATAAAGTTTCAGTAAACAGCGGGATATAGCGAGCGGTGCGGTGATGGTTTTCTGACGTGGTTGTGTTGTGTTTTTGTTCATTAATGCGAAAAATTATAATTCTGTTTGAAACGTAATGATTTTGTTTAGATCAGATAAAGTGAAATGTGGGTGTTGTATTACTATGAATAATCTAATAATACTAAATCGTGGTAGAAATAGTATGGGATTTTGGTGAAGATATTTTTTGAAGGTATAGTATTATGATTATAATACAGTTTTGAAAACAGTAAGATTTTCAGCTTATTCAGTGTACAGCTTTTGAAAATGATTCTTTCGGAGATAATTTTTAAATGTATTCTTATGTATTATTAAGTAATTCTTAAAATAAAAATATGGGGTCCTTTTATTAAACATGTAGTGATTGTTAATTTAAACGGTTTTTAAAAACCTCATTTCAGAATTGTTTGATATTTTTTTTATCAGATTTCGTTGCGTCACGTGATAATCTGCTGTGTCCGACACATTGGTCAGGTGTCTCATGCAAGTGTGTCTGTGTGTCCAGTCATCTGGGCACTGGTTCTAGACACCTAGGAAGATGGATTTAACGGTTTTTCTTGTCATCGGTGTACTGTCTGCGCTAGACTGTATCCTAGGTAAGTGTTGCAGTGTTGTAATGTAGTGTTGACGGAGTGTTATGTTGCTGTAGTGTTGTAATATGGTGATATTGGATTTTCGTAAAATGCTGTGTAACTTAGTGTTGTAATGTAGTGTTGAGTAATTAAAATTATGTCAGTGCTAAATATTTATTCTTTTTTAAAAGAAGTTTACTTTAAAATGGGTGTTTTAGTAAGGAAAAAAAACAGCCTTCATCAGAGTCGATATATATATATATATATATATATATATATATATATATATATATATATATATATATATATATATATATATATATATATATATATATATATATATATATATATATATATATATATATATATATATATATATATATATATATATGCATAAATGTTTAAAAATTAAATTTAGGGGTGGGGGAGGGAAAGCGGGGGTCTATTGCTTGTCTAGCTAATACGTAAATCCGACACTGGGATTTACAACAGTATTGTCATGTGATATAGTTGGTGTGTTGGTGTTGTTGCAGTGCGGTTGATATGTAGTGTGGTATTGATGTAGTGGTACTGTGCTTCTGTAGTTATGCTGCTTTGCGATTCAGTCCTCTGCTCTTACTCTATTTATAGATTCACTCAATCCAGCTTTTTTACTGACTGGGAAAGGGTGAGGGTCTGGTGTGCGCTTAAAGGCTGTACCTGTTTAACAAAAATTACGAAATATATTAATTTAATTTAATAAAATATAGAAATAACAAAGTTTTACTTACCATTTCATTAGAAAACTCTATTTATAATGATAATACCAAAGGCTTATATAAAATTATCTAGACTATTTATCTTATTACATTTTTATAAAATTTGTTTAATTTTAAACCATTTTTTTTTTCTACTTCGTGCTAAATTGTAATGTTGGTCGGGATTTTCCACCAACTCAATTAAGTATTACATGTCAACCTGTTTTGCGCAATATAAGTCCTGATGACTTCAATTTCGACCAGCTTTTCTTTCTGGATTTGCTTCCATAACCTTTGTCCAACCTAAAACAATATCCAAGTCGGTAGTTTTTTGGTTTTGGAGTTGTCTCTCCTAGATGGGTTGCTGTCCCCCAGACATCGTCTCATCTGCCCGGGGGTCGAACTTGGAACTTTTTCCGTTCGTAGCCATGAGCTTTACCGATCCGACCATTTGAATGTTACAATCTTAACTATATCCCACATACTTTGTAGAACTAACCGTGATGACGCAAGTTTACTTAAGATAGGTCTAGTAGAAGTTAGCAGAAACAGAGTATAGCTTAGTTAGACCAATAGAAATACAGGAGCTGACAGGTCACGTGAGACGGTCAGATGACCAGTGAGGCGTGGGTCAGCAGACGGTGATAGGTAGCAGTAGAGAACGGACAGAGATATGTAGAGTTAGGGAGCAGTTAGATAGAGGTAGTAGACAGTAGAACTTAAGAAGTAGTTAGGGTAGGAGTAGGAGATTGATTTGTGTTAAATAAAAAACCATTATAGTCAGTGGCGTAGCGAGGTCGGGTGTCACCCGGTGCGGCACTTAATGGTGTCACCCCTTTCCCCCCCCCCTTCCCGCGGACAAACTTTCAAATTTTCGATTTGCATCCCCCCTCAAACTTTCGATTTGCACCCCCACCCCCCCTCAAGTTTTTCTTTATGTAATTTGCTGTTTTTGCCTTGGTGTCACCCCCCTAAATGGTGTCACCCGGTGCGGTCCGCACCCCCTGCCCCACCCCCCTCGCTACGCCTCTGATTATAGTATATCTTGAATTAGACTTGTGTTGATTCCAAACTGTGCCAGGCTACCATTTTTAAGAAAACGTTAACACGGTTCGATCCCCCTGACTATATGTGTATTACAGTATACATTACGGTATACAAATAGACACATTCATGTAACAATGAAAACCCCACCCTTACAACTGGTGGTTCTTCCTCGTCTTCACCCTCACACTAACTTATGACTATTTGGGTGAAACAAAGGAAATGATTTAATAATGACGAGGTAGGTTAGAACAAAGCTCACCTAACATACATCGATCTACTCAAGCAGTCAAGACAAAGCACATTGAAAGGTAAACAAAACCGTTGCGACAAACACAAATTGTCCACGATATTGTGGTACAAAAGTGAAGATCTCAACGATAAGCTGGTCTAGTTAATAGACCATATGATATACAATCAGCTCGCTAGGATAGATGTGATGAGCTTGTCTAGTTTACAGACCATATGATATACAATAAGCTAACTAGAATATAGGTGATGAGCTTGTGTAGTTTATAGACCATATGATATACAATAAGCTAACTAGAATATAGGTGATGAGCTTGTGTAGTTTATAGACCATATGATATACAATAAGCTAACTAGAATAGATGTGATGAGCTTGTCTAGCTTATAGACCATATGATATACAATAAGCTCACTAGAATATAGGTGATGATAAGGGTATATCTAGCTTATATCCCAAATATCGTATTATCAGGGCAGTAGTATAGATGAGATGATGTAGGTAGAAAGACCCATCTGATTGTAGCCCCTTTCCAACAATTAGGGCCATGGTAGCCTGAACTCCATTTTGTTTGGTGAAAATGTAAAGCAATAAAAAAAAAACGAACCTTGGTGACTACTATGTAGGAACGATGGGCTGGAGCACAGATGTTTCGAAACAGTATTACTAATCGTGTTTTACTAGGAATAACATTCAGTCAAAATATTTGTGGGAAAAAATGTACATCGTGTCGGTAGGCTTTTATTTCAATTTGCTGGAAAATTTATAAAATATTTTAAAGTTATTTTTTTTAACCTTATTACTAAATAAATAGAATCCCGCTAAGTCAAGAAAAAAAATTATTTAAAAACCACTTTATAAAAGAACACAGAAACGTGGAATGTTGCCTTTATTTTGTAAAAAGTTAAAAGTAAACAAAGTCAAGTTCGTCAGTTTCATATACCTCAGCATGTAAGAAAATAATATGGTCAGCACTATGCCAAGCTGCCTGCACTTTCCCAAACGTGAGTCAGGTGCTAGGTGGACTCAGTCAATCTATAAACACAAACCTGGTTTCGAACTACAGAATTTCAGGTTGGCAGTTGTTTGGCCTACTACCTTTCGTCCGACCACGCCGCCCCCACTTACTAAGGCAGCACAGATTGTATAAGAACAATGGCTAGCCGTAAAGCTTTTTTTTTTTGCATGCACGATAGAACAAAGTGCCACAAATACCACCATGAGGGAGTTTCCACTAAATTATTTATACGCATCTGGATTTTCCGATTCTGGTTAAATGTCTAACACTGATCACTACAACAAGATATGACTTAAAGTATGCTCCTAGACACATATTATTTTACAAAAACCAGCAGTTTATATATATATATATATATATATATATATATATATATATATATATATATATATATATATATATATATATATATATATAAATATGTATATATATATATATATATATATATATATATATATATATATATATATATATATATATATAGAGAGAGAGAGAGAGAGAGAGAGAGAGAGAGAGAGAGAGGGAGAGAGAGACGATTGCAAATGATTGTCAACTGTGATTAAGAACACATCAATCGAGATTTATTATTTAGACCGGCTAATATAAATTATAATCCCATTCTCTATAAGGACAGTCTACTGTATATTGTATGTACAAACATATAAGTTAGTTTTTTGGGGTGGGCACTTTTTTTTCCATATTTCATAGACAGTGCATTTAGTAACATTCCTGGGAACTGCTAGTCTTGTCAATAGGTATCTTAGCCATCAATCGCTGTGTGTGCATGAAATCGATCTGCCTGGCCTGTGAAAAAAGTAAACCACCTCGTCAAGAGGTCCACATTAGACAATGTGAGTTGAATTATTGAAGCCGCATCTATACAAGTAGACTGAACACGTGACGTCACCATAACAAAACAAGCCATTTTTATGCTGTCTCTTGGAGCCTTTTGTTCGCTCAAATTTTCCGATAACCTGACGATTCTGTTGATACAATGATAAACTGCCGTCAGTACAACAGTACGTTAGTTGAACCCCCCCCCCCTCTCCCGAGAAAGTTGGACGGATAGAAAATTTTCAGTTTGCGCTTAAAATATTGAATTGCATTTATTGTAGTGCGTTATTTAAACATTTTCGATATATATATATATATATATATATATATATATATATATATATATATATATATATATATATATATATATATATATATATATATATATATATATATATATATATTAGAAGACCTTCTCATTAAATTTTAAATAAAACGTTTTCCTAACTTAGTAATTTAACCCATCACATATCGCATATTCATTTTGGACCTGAAGTCAATGAGTTAAACAACGATTATTTAAATTTTAATTAAGAGAAGTAATTAATTTTTTTTTTTGCTTAGTACAAAACTGTTTAAAATGATCTTTATAGGCACCCCCATTAGACTATACTAAAGAGCATTAAGTCATGGAATTAGTTTCAACATTTGCCTATATTTCACACAATAGCTTATGTAGTTTGATCATATCTTCTACTTCTCAAAAGCGCGTGTTAATTAGAATACAACAATCACTGCTGTTGTAGATCTGTCATTAGTTTTTTTTTACAAAGCCAGTATCAAGGTGCAAGTAAAATTTAAAAAAAAAATTTAGTCGGATTTAGGGCGACTTAAACGACTGGGCTCCCTGCATTTCGAAGTCTGGCGGTTGCGCCCCTGTATTTAAGGGTGTCTCATACTTTTTCTTGTGAAAAAAATAAAAGTGCTTAAACAGCTGTTGGCCGTGGCCACGATACTCTAAGGTGTGATCTGATTCTCTCCACCCAGGGGCCAAATACTCTCTCCACAAGCAAGAGGTCACCTGGTTCGATGCCGTGGAGAAATGTAAAGTAGCCGAGCGATCTCTGGCCAAGATTACGTCACAAGAGGACCAGGACTATGTGGTCAACAATTTCAAGGACTCCATTAAGGGGTGAGTTTTTCATCCGTCCATCTGTCCGTCCATCCGTCCATCAATTCAACTGTCGTTCCATATCTATTCGTCCATATCCATCCGTATAAATCCGTATCTATCTTTATTCATCCGATTCATCCGTATACATTCGTATACATTAACAACCATTTAGCCATATCCATTTAGGCACATACATCCATCCGCATTCATCCGTATAGATCAACATCCATTTAGCCATATCCATTTAGCCACATAATCCATCCTTATCCACCCGTATACACCCGTATACATCTGTATCCATCCGTATCCACCCGTGTACATCCGTATCCATCCGTATCCATCCGTATCCATCCGTATCCACCCGTATACATCCGTATCGATCCGTATCCATTCATATCTATCCATATACATCCATATCCGTTCGGCCATATCCATTCAGCCATATCCATTCAGTCCTATACATCCAGCCTCATTGGTCCATCCATCCGTATCCATCTGTATCCATATTAAATTCTTATCCATTCAGCCATATCCATCCAGCCATATCCATCCATCTTTCCATCTATCAATTCCTTCTTCTTACTTTGTTTTTGTTCCTGCATATTCCCGTGCTTACAATTCATCACATAAGGTAAAAGAAAAAAAAACTTTTTTTACACACTAAATCAAGCCATTAAATCATATTGATCTACATCTCCTCTAGGCTAAATAAACTTCACTGAAATAAAAAAAAACAGTGAAAATAATAGTTGGCAAAAGAAAATAAACCGGGAGTGATCTCCCCTAAACTTTCTCGAATATTCTTATATAAAATAACAGGGGATGGGAACTCGGGCTATAGACATGATTTTTAATCCATTTTAAATACTTAAAGTTTTAAAAATAGAATAAAATCTCGTAGACAAATTAATTGCACACCAAGTGAACGCGAATAAAAAAGCGCATAATAGTGCGCAATATTATTAGTACTTTTAAAATTTACATTAGTTTTATGAGAAATCGGAAGTAGCGTAAATAAGTACTTCCGGTCAACGAAAAATTCTCAAAATTTGACAGAAGGTAGAGAATTAGATCTTTTACTTACATATCAAATTTCATTTATCTATCTGAAATAGTACTCAAGTTATAGGCTTTTGAAAAATTCAAAGTAGAAAAAGTACCACTTCCGGTTATCCGAAATTGCTCAAAAGTTGATACGGATCTACGATTTTGATAAAATACTTGTATATGAAATTTCATCAACCTAGCTGTAACGGTACTCAAGTTATCGTGTTTACACACGGACACACACACACACACACACAGACACACAGACATACGGACAAGATTGCAAAATTATGTTTTTCCGTATCAGTGAGATGTAAAACGTCGAGATTTGCAAAAATCTCGATTTTTTTTTTGCACGATTACAAGACTTTCTCTATACTTCGTATATACGAGAAAGTAAAAAAAGGATGGATTCTTACTAGAACCTCAGTTGGAAAAATTATGTTTTCATTCATTATGTCAACCTTACACAGTCTTAATCCTAACAGTCTCTTGACATTACTCTAATACCTGAAAGTTTTCCCGATCCGAAACTCTAATCCAAATAAACCGGGAGTGATCTCCCCTAAACTTTCTCGAATATTCTTATATAAAATAACAGGGGATGGGAACTCGGGCTATAGACATGATTTTTAATCCATTTTAAATACTTAGTTTTAAAAATAGAATAAAATCTCGTAGACAAATTAATTGCACACCAAGTGAACGCCAAATAAAAAAGCGCATAATGGTGCGAAATATTATTAGTACTTTTAAAATTTACATTAGTTTTTTGAGAAATCGGAAGTAGCGTAAATTACTACTTCCAGTCAACGGAAATTACTTAAAATTTAACAGAAGGTAGAGAATTAGATCTTTTACTTACATGTGAAATTTCATTTATCTATCTGAAATAGTACTCAAGTTATAGGCTTTTGAAAAATTCAAAGTAGGAAAAGTACCACTTCCGGTTATCGGAAATCGCTCAAAAGTTGATACGGATCTACGATTTCGATAAAATACTTATATATGAAATTTCATCAACGTAGCTGTAACGGTACTCAAGTTATCGTGTTTACACACGGACAGACAGACACACAGACACACAGACACACAGACAGACACACAGACATACGGACAAGATTGCAAAATTATGTTTTTCCGTATCAGTGAGGTGTAAAACGTCGAGATTTGTAAAAATCTCGATTTTTTTTTTTGCACGATTACAAGACTTTCTCTATACTTCGTATATACGAGAAAGTAAAAATTGATCTTAGCCTAAAATAAAATTAAAAAAATGCATACGATATTGTACCGTCCTTTCGTATTTTTTTCAAAAAAATAAAATAAAAAAAAACATAATACTAAAAAATCAAATCACTATTTTAGGCTATTGAACAGAATAAAAGGTTTCGATCCCCAGAAATCGATAACAGATAACAAATCACCACATGTGTATAATCTTTGCTTTGTTTTTTTTTAAATCACCCGATGCAGTTGTAAATCTGTGATAATTCGTTAAGGAGGCACTCTGGGCACACTTTGAAAAAGTTAAAAAACCTTTCCTAAATTTTGAGCTGATAGCTAACATTCAGTTTATATTTTTATTCTTAGGGAAAGTGAGGAGATTAAACAAAAGTATATTGTCATTTTATATATATATATATATATATATATATATATATATATATATATATATATATATATATATATATATATATATATATATATATATATATATATATATATATATATTTATTTATTTATTTATATATATATATATATTTATATATATATTTATTTATATATATAAATATATATCTATATTTTTATGTATGTGTGTGTGTGTATTCAGTGTGTTAGTCAACAGATAAACATGTTTACCAGCACGCGAAGTGACGTAGTTTGCCATCCTACCGTAAAAAAATAATAACTAATTATACAGCCCTGTTTACGTAGCCAAATTATCTTAAGAGACGATAGCTTAATCAAGGACGTCACGCAACCACTCACCCGTAACGCCGTCCAAGCTGATAGCTCATATCAGATACGATCAAATCCCTGGCCAATCAACGGCCTGTTTACATCTCCCGGCTTCCGGAAATCAAACGTCGATCACGTGCTGTGACTAGGACGGTCGGCCATCTTTTGTTCGGAGCACGAAGACGCCCGGGGTAGTAATTGAACGGCTGTTGTTTCCACGCTAGGCCATACGGGGAAGCAGAACTCAGACCATTAAATGCTGAAAGAGTGAAAGACAATTGCTTTATTGCAGAGTTTTTTTTTCAATATCTTTTTAAAAAATTGAGAGCGTAAAAAATGTGTTCGATTATTACAAATCGATACCATTGTCTGAGTGATCAGCTGAACAGGTAGAAGTGATTGGAGATAATTGAGACGGGATTCGTGCTGAGATTTAAAACAAGAAATCAGGAAATACAATACAGAAACGAGGCTTCGTTTAAAGGAGATTGTGGTTGGTGGACTAATTTACCACCCTCTTTCTATATTTCAAGATACGTTGCTATTATTTTTTTAAATGTCAAAATCACACAAATCAATGCGTAAAGTGGAGTACTCAATCACAATTTTTTATAACTAGATTTTCAAAAAAATCATCGATTTGCACACTTACGCCTGAAAACAATTAATTTCTCTTGAATAATTTAACGGTGTTTAGTTTTTTTTGACAACATACTTCAATCAAGATATAAGTAGAGTTGAAGGGTTCGATATGGTCGGCGCGGTAAAGCTCATGGTTGCTAAACTGAAGGATAGTTATAGGTATATCTATTTATCAATATTATTGATGGGATGTCGATGAATAAATAGATGAGTTAAGCGTAGTGGGCGAGAAAGGGTATGACCACTAATTCCGAAACTCCAGAGTTCGAAGCACTGAGCAAATAAGTCTTTAAAATTGATGACAAATACCCATCTAAGCGAGAAAACTCAAAAATCAAATGTTCTTGGATGGACAGGCTATGGGAGCAAATCCAGAAAAAAAATCAGCCTGAAGGTGGAGCAAACAGGCCAGTTGACGCATAACATATTGATTGTTAATCCTTTATTGTTTTGGAGGAAATACCGTCCAACTTTACAATTTAGAGCAAAGAAGAAAAATAAGTCGATTTAAAAAAAGTATGTGACAAGTTACAATACACGATGATGCTGAATATATTCTCTTTCCGATTTGGCTCCGTAAGACAATGGACGCGTCAAGAGAATTGGAATCCTCTGGTGCATAGTAGGGAGTTCGATGAAGTGATCATGGGTTGCCTAAAGATTCATAGGTTGCCCAATGGATAATGGTTGCCAAAGTGTTCATGATTTGTAAAAGGGTTAATGGGTTGCCCAATAGATCATGGGTTGCCCAATGGATCATTTGTTGTCAGTGGGTTCATGGGTTGTCAATGGGTTTATAGACTGTCAAAGGATTCATGGGTTGCCAAATGTATTATAAGTTTCCCAAATGGGTTGCCCAAGGGTTCATGAGTTGCCAAGGGTTCATGGTTCAGAATCTTAATTCGTTGACACTCAAGCTATTGACCTCCCAACCCATGACCTCCCAAATATTGACCTCTCTTTCATTGCCCTTCCAGTCATTGACCTTTGAGCCATTGACCTTTCAGCCATTGACCTATGAGCAATTGACCTCCCAGCCATTGACCTCCCAGCCATTGACCTCCCAGCCATTGACCTTTCAGCCATTGACCTATGAGCAATTGACCTCTCAGCCATTGACCTATCAGCCATTGACCTATCAGCCATTGACATCCCAGCCATTGACCTCCCAGCCATTAACCTCCCAGCCATTAACCTCCCAGCCATTAACCTCCCAGCCATTGACCTTCCAGCCATTGACCTATCAGCCATTGACCTTCCAGCCATTAACCTCCCAGCCATTAACCTCCCAGCCATTAACCTCCCAGCCATTGACCTCTCTTTCATTGACCTTACAGCCATTGACCTTCCAGCCATTGACCTATCAG